TTAAGACACAAGACCCAACACTCTGGATGAGCTTAAGACACAAGACCCAACACTCTGGATGAGCTTAAGGCCGTTATCGAAGCATCCTGGGCCTCCATAACACCTCAGCAGTGCCACAGGCTGATTGCCTCCGTGCCACGCCACATTGAAGCAGTCATTTCTGCAAAAGGAATCCTGACCAAGTATTGAGTGCATAACTGAACATAATCATTTGAAGGTTGACTTTTTTTGTATTAAAAACACTTTTCTTTTATTGGTCAGATGAAATTTGTTAATTTTTTTGAGATTGGGATTTTTGATTTTTCTTTACTCTTTTGCCAAAACCATCAATATTAAAACAATAAAAGGCTTGAACTACTTCAGTTGGTGTGTAATGAAACTAAAACATATGAAAGTTTAATATTTATTAATACATTTCAGAAAATAATGAACTTTATCACAATATGCTAATTTTTTGAGAAGGACCTGTATTTCAAGAATTAGTCCAATTCCAAGTAAAATTTTCTTACTCCACTGGCAGAAATTTTGACTTAATTTGAGTCAAATTTTCAGACTAACAAGACAAATAATCTTACACATTCTGAAAACAAGATTATTATTCTTACACATTCAGTTCTTGTTCAGTAAATCAGTCTCAAAACAAGTTCAAAAAGTCTTTTTGGCTGGATTTAAGATTTTAAAACTTGGTTAGGTTGACAKTTTTTGCAGTGTAAATAAACTTTACGACAATATATTTCTAAAAGTTTTAGTCCATGTCACAAACAAAACAGCAGGGATTTATTAACTTACTTATTCAAACAACAGTTTGCAGGATTCACTCCAGTTCTGATTGTTCTGGAACTGTTTTTTCTATTCTCTAGTAAGTTTCTGTTGATTCAAACTGATGATATGAATGAAGTCCTTGGGACAGTTGGTGGGTTTCTTACAGCAGAAGGACCAGATGATGTGTGAAATGTTTTTATTTAGGTGAAACACTGAAGAGCTGAGGAATTCATTATTCCTCTCAACACAAACACATCTCAAATGTATTAAACTTACCGTATTTATTCAAGTATAATACCATACCATACCAACTTTTTTTAAAAAGCACTTTAAAACAACCACAGCTGATACAAAGTGCTGTACATTAAAACAACAACATAATAAAAAAGTGATTAAAAACAGTTTAAAAACAAAAACATACAATTTAAAACTAAATCCCTAATACGTAAAATTAAACCCATAAAATCATCCATAAATTTAAGGGGTAGTACTGTACTAGGATAAATATTTTTACTTATGTATTTTAACTGAAAAATCTGCTTCAATCAAGAAAATGCCTGAGTCCAGAAATGAGACCGTGTCGTAAAATCAGTTGAAACGAGCTTACCTCTGACTCTCCTCCGTGCTTCAGAACAAGATAGTAACAGATCCAGGCAGGAGACATGATGTGAAAAAAGGGGGAAAAGTATTCCTGCACCTTAGTAATGATAACGAACTAATGACATTAGCGTGTGACCGGGCCGCTCCTCGAACAACAACAAACACATGTTCGTCTGTAATGGCTGCCGTCTACCGGTGTTCTGAAAAAGTTTGTACCCCTGAAAAAAGTTTCCCCACCAGAGGGGGCGCTCGTGAGTAGGAAGTAATCTGCTTTTCCCCCACAAGATGGTCCAAATCTCATGTGAAGTCTCTGACTTTTGTGTTGGTGCCTCCTGGTGGACTATGTGTAAAATGCCAGAATTCATATGATGCTGCTACAGCTGATACTGTATATATTTGTTGTCAAAATACCTTTAAGTACATATGTTGTTAAAATAAAATGAACAGTCCAATGATCATTTTACTGATATGTATAAAGACTGCAAAGGCTGAAAAATCTTGGTCTGTATAAAATTGGAGGTAGTTTGAGGATTAAATTCTTTATGCTTTTTAAGCTCCAAGAAGTGGGGGTTGTATTATACATGAGATCGTATTGTACATGAATAAATACGGTAGTTGTCATACATTTTTCTGGTCTTGTAAGTTTCAGTAAATGTTTATGAATTTAGTTGCAACAGTTCAGTAAGTTGTGGTCTTTTTCACCCTCTCGTGCAACAGATTCACATTACAGTTTTGGACAACAATGACAATGACCCCATCTTCTCCCAGCCTATCTACGAGGTCACTATTTCAGAAGATACGTCACCCAACACAGAGGTGGTCCAGGTTCAGGCGTCAGATCGAGACGAGCATCACCAGCTCACCTATGCTCTGTACAGCTCCATCGACCCGAACAGCATGCGCCTGTTTCGGATCCACCCATCCCTGGGCATCGTCTACACCTCTCAGAGACTGGATCACGAGGCCTGCACCCAGCACATTCTCACAGTCATGGTGAGACAGGCTCTGTTTGTGGTCCTTACACCCAGTGTGTGAAACTTATGCTAGGACTGAGTAGGACTGATAGCTGCTCAGTGTTGGTCTGGAAGTCAGTGAAGCATTGAGCATTTGTAGATGTCTTGGTGCATCTCTGTGTTAAGGCCCTGTCACACTAGACAACTGATGAAGATTTTAAAGGCATCTACATTGAAGGTGGAATTGAAAAAAATCAACAGAAAGCTTCTTTTCAGTGTGTACATATTGTAATTTGAACAAATTGATCAAATATATAATGTTTATTAGCAATTTAGTCATAAAAATGTTTCATAAGTTGACATAAGTTGTCTAGGGATACAGGGCCTTTAACACCTCATCAGCCTTCATTTTCTCAGAATAACTAGATACCGCATAGCAGTAACAATGACCCCCGCACACACAAATGCACCCGAACTCAGAAGTCTTTATTCCTAATGAAAGTTATGCTACTAGGTGCATCTCAAAATTGTAGTGGCTTGGGTGGGGGTCTTTTTTGGGGGGGTGGGTGTTGGTTGACCCCTCATCAGAGCTAAACGACAAAAGAAAATCTGAAGCGAGCTATAACCATTTTTGTGTGTCCAGATACTCCTTTTTCAGATAAATTGGGGGGGGGGACTGATTGGTGGGCCTGATGGATAGAGCTTTATCAGAGCTAAACAACAAAAGAAATCTGAAGCTTCTATGTTGAACAGTTTCTGAGTTATAAGCATTTTTGCATGTCCAGACACCCCCCTCTTTGGATGGTGCCCCCTCCTCAAATATGGGGTCTATCGTAAAACCGTTGGCTGGCGCAGTGTAGGTTGGACTTATCTACAGTCTTGCCAAATTTCATGTTGATCGGTGCAGCAGTTTTTGTGCTACGGTTGACCAAAAATCACTGAAAAAAA